AGGTTCGTCTTCAAGTATTAAGAGGTTTGTTCGAATCTCTACAAATGAAAGGGTCTGAATCAGTCTCTGATTATTTCTCAAGAGTCTTAGCCATTTCCAATCAATTAATAAGAAACGGAGAAAAGCTAAAAGATGTTAGAATTATGGAGAAGATACTATGCGATACTACGCTCGTTGGACCCCAAGTTCGAGCACATTGTCGTGACGATTGAGGAAACTAAAAACTTGGAAGATATTAGTATAGAGCAATTAATGGGTTCACTACAAGCATATGAAGAGAAACATAAGAAGAGGCAAGGGAATGATGAGCAGCTCCTTAAGACGCATGTTTAGCCAAAGAAGAAAGAAGAAAGCATCAACAATGAGAGAAGCCAATATGAAAGAAGTCATAGCCGAGGTCGCAGACGTGGACATGGACGTAGACATGGTTGAAACTTCAACAACCATAGCAACTACGAAAGAGGAGAAAGCTCAACAAAAGGTTGTGGAAAAGGACGCTCAAACTTGAGGTATGAAAAATCTCAAGTTCAATGCTACAATTGTCAAAAGTTTGGGCATTATGCTTGGGAATGTAGAGCTCTAAATAGCAGACTTGATGAGAAGGTCAATTATGTGAAAGAAGAGAATGGCGTTGTGGTACTAGCATGTAAGAACAATGATGGAGACCAAGACTATACATGGTACCTTGACACCAGCGCCGGCAACCACATGTGCGGAAGAAGAAGCATCTTCGTAGAGCTCAATGAATCAGTGAGTGGCAACGTTTCTTTTGGAGACGAATCCAAAATACCCTTAAAAGGAAAAGGTAACATCCTTATTCCCTTGGAAAATGGCGGTCACCAATTAATTTCAAATGTCTACTACGTGCCCAATATGAAAAGCAACATTTTGAGTTTGGGTCAACTCTTAGAAAAAGGTTATGATTTCCATACGAAAAATTATATCCTTTTTCTTAGAGATGACAAAGGAAGATTAATTGCCAAGGCGAAAATGTCAAAGAATAGGATGTTTCCCATGAACATTCAAAACGATGCTGCAAAGTGTCTCAAGATATGTTACAAAGACATATCTTGGCTTTGGCATCTTCATTTTGGGCATCTTAATTATGGGGGACTGGAGTTATTATCCAAGAAGGAGATGGTGAGAGGTTTACCATGTATCAGTCACCCTGATCAAGTTTGTGAAGGATGTTTACTTAGGAAACAGGTCAGGAAAAGCTTTCCAAAGTAGTCGACCACAAGAGCCCAGAAGCCACTCGAGCTCATTCACACTGATGTGTGTGGTCCAATAAAACCAAGCTCTTTGGGTAAAAATAATTATTTCCTTTTCTTCATTGATGATTTTTCAAGGAAAACCTGGGTGTATTTCTTGAAGCAGAAATTAGAGGTATTTGGAGCATTTAAGAAGTTTAAAGCCACCGTAGAAAAAGAAAGTGGTTGCAAGATCAAAGCCATAAGATCTGATCGAGGAGAGAATTCACTTCGAAGGAATTCCAAGAGTTTTGTGAAGTAAATGAAATTCGTCGACCTTTGACAGTTCTAAGATCCCCTCAACAAAATGGTGTGGCGGAAAGAAAAAATTGAACCATCCTCGACATGGCTCGAAGCATGCTCAAAAGCAAGAAATTGCCTAAGGAATCGTGGGCAGAAGCTGTAGCATGTGCTATCTACCTATCCAATCGGTCTCCAACAAGAAGTGTGTGGGGAAAAACTCCGCAAGAAGCATGAAGTGGAAGAAAACCAAGTATCTCTCACCTAAGAGTTTTTGAAAGCATAGCCCATGTACATGTACCAGACGAGAGGAGAACCAAACTCGACGACAAAAGTGAGAAGTTCATCTTCATCGGTTATGACACAAATTCAAAAGGATATAAGCTGTATAATCCGAACAATGGGAAGACGGTGATCAGTCGAGATGTGACGTTTGATGAAGAAGGAGAATGAGATTTTTGCTTGCATGCAGGTGATCTTCACTTCTTTCCTCAGTTTGAAGAAGAGAATGAACAAGGGATGATGGAGCAAGCAATAGAGGTTCAACAAGAATCCACTACTCCACCTGCTTCACCAATATTAACCAATTATGTAATTCACCAGTATCAGCATCGTCAAGTGGGAATCTAAATGAAAGAGAAGTACCATGCACAAGAAGTATACGAGATCTTTATGAGGTAGCTGAAAGACTTGATAATCCTGCACTTTTCTGTCTCTTTGCTGATTGTGAACCAGTTGACTTCCAAGAAGCAGTGCAAGATACTAAGTGGATGAAAGCAATGGATGAAGAAATTGAAGCAATCTAGAAGAATGATACATAGGAACTCGCTATTCTTCCGAAAGGACACAAAGCCATCGGAGTCAAGTGGGTGTACAAGACAAAAAAGAATGCCAACAGAGAGGTCGAAAGATACAAGGCAAGACCAGTGGCGAATGGCTATAGTCAAAGAGCCGGAATCGACTATGATGAGGTATTTGCACCCGTTGCTCATTTAGAAACTATACGATTACTAATTTCTTTGGTAGCTCAAAACAGTTGGAAGATTCAACAAATAGATGTGAAGTCCGCCTTCCTAAATGAAGTCCTTGAAGAAGAAGTCTACATTCAGCAACCGTCAGTCTATGAAATCAAAGGGCATGAAGACAAAGTTCTGAAGCTAAAGAAAGCCCTCTATAGGTTAAAACAAGCGCCACGAGCATGGAATAGTCGCATCGACAAGTACTTTTAGAAGAACAACTTCATTAAGTGCCCTCATGAACATGCTCTCTACGTCAAAGTCAAAGATGGAGATATTTTGATTGTGTGCTTATATATGGATGATCTAATCTTCACCGGGAGTAATCCAAACATGTTTGAAGAGTTCAAGAGAATGATGACCAAAGAATTTGAGATGAGCGACATCGGGTTGATGGCATACTACCTAGGCATTGAAGTGAAGCAGAACGAAGAAGGCATTTTCATCTCCCAAGAAAGCTACACAAAGGAGATACTGAAAAAGTTCAAAATGAACGACTGCAAGCCCATAATCATGCCAGTGGAATGTGGAGTCAAACTAATCCAGCATGACAAAGGAGAAAGCGTAGATCCAACATTTTTCAAAAGTTTAGTTGGAAGCTTGCGCTACTTGACTTGCACAAGACCAAACATTCTCTATGCTGTCAGATTAGTCAGTCGCTACATGGAGAATCCCACAACTACACATTTGAAGACTGCCAAAAGAATTCTTCGATACCTCAAAGGTACTGTTAACTTTGGCTTGTTTTATTCAAGTTTTGATAACTACAAACTTGCTAGATATAGCGACAGTGATTGGGCAAGAGATTCCGACGATAGAAAAAGCACTACTGGATTTGTGCTCTTCATGACAGACACTACATTCACATGGATGTCGAAGAAGCAACCAATTGTCACACTACCTACTTGCGCAGCTGAATACATAACTGCTACCGTATGCGTCTGTCATGCAATTTGGCTGAGAAACTTGCTAAAAGAGTTAAGCATGCCGCAAAAAGAACCAACAAAGATTTATGTCGACAACGAGTCTGCAATAGCTCTAGCAAAAACTCCAGTATTCCATGACAGGAGCAAACACATAGATACCCGTTACCATTTCTTAAGAGAGTGCATTGCAAGAAAGGATGTGCAAGTGGAATACGTGAAGTCTCAAGACCAAGTCGTCGACATATTCACCAAGCCACTCAAACAAAAAGACTTTGTCAGACTAAGAAACTCAATCGGCGTCACAAGACAAGATTAAGGGGGGATGTTGAATTGTAATCTTGTCTTGGCCCAAAGATAATTGATCCGGCCCATACACAAAGAAAGATCCATGCACATGCTAGAGAATTCTAGCAAAGTTCAAGTTGGTGGAAGAGTCTAGAAGAATGGTGAGGATTCCACCAACATACAAGATTAGTGTAGATAATTCTAGCTTAGGAAGGTAGTGGAATTATCTAGATATCTCTAGCATGATGCTTCCATGCTTCTCCAAGGTTCCATCCATGCCTATAAAAGGAGAAGGCATTCACACCATTTGTAACAACCAAGAGAGCAAATAGTAAGAGGTGAGAGTGTCAAGTAAGAAGTAAGAAGAAGCAACAAAGCTTCTAAGAGTGTTTGAGTGTTTCCTCTTGTACTAGTTTGTGAGAATAAAAAATTTGTATAACACTTTGAGTGTTCTTTCTTTCTCTTGCCTATCAAATTCTGCTGTATTACATTATCCTTTGTGAGATAAACATCTCCAAAATAGTGAAGCATTTTTAAACCTCAACAATGTATGTATATATTAAAGGTTATTTAGAGAATAAGAGTGGGTGAGGAAATAACATTTAAATTTTTTAACCTTTTAAGGTGGGTGAGATTATAATGTGGATGGGAAAATAAGACACATACAACTTTGCAACCTTTCCGCCGTCTTCCTAACGTGCCCGGAGGTGAATGACCCACCGTCCGCAACCGTAAACAAGCGAAGGCCATCGATCGAACCAGTGCAGAATACGATAAGCATCTGAATGCACCAAGCTGTATCAGAGCCGTATTTCAGCTGCTCCACGCAGAAGATTCCGGCCAATCCGGATCCCGCTCCCGTGCTTCACAGGTTTTCTCTAATTTATTTATTTTTTAATATAAATAATATAAAAAATCCCCTGCACTTTTTAGGGTTTCGAGGGCAGTGTTTAAAAAACCTACACTTATCAGTTGTGTTGTGTGCCGCATTGCCGCTGCCTACTTGGAACGGAGCCATCTCTTGACCAATTACCTTCTTCATCAAGCAGTAAACCCTTTGAGTTAGCCCATGCATATACTAGTACTTCAAGTTTTTATTTGATTCCATGATTTTGTTCTATACAATTATTAACCCTTCATAAACTGTATAGCTTATGTACATAATGCCTTAGGGTTTAGTTGCTGTTCATAATTTCGTGTCGTATGTTTACACGATTTCTGTTCTTATGTCCTTAATCAATTCCTTGTAGGTGTAAGGTCCTCTTATACAAAAACTAAAAGGAACCAAGTGCCATGGAACACAAACGTCAGTCATTGGCAACTGCAATTTCTCAGTCTCAAGGTCCTCGTCATGAGAGATTAATAGACAGATTTAGTAATCTTCCAGATGAAGTTGCTCATCACATTCTTTCCTCCCTCACTTTAAGAGATATCTGCCGAGTGGGCTGTGTGTCAAAAAGGTGCATGCAGTTTTTTTTATCCACTCCGTCGTTGAACTTTGATGTAAGGAGTTTCGGTAGGCGGCAGCGATTGAAGTTGTTAGGTTATTTGGAAAGGTTCTTGAGTAAACGTGGTGATAATAAGATACAACATTTTCGTATACGTTGGTTATGTCGAGATGATGATGCAAGCAGCTATTATGATGAGTATTTTCGAGTGATCAACTGGATGTATACAGCTGTAAGATGTAATGTTGAAGTACTTGATCTTTACTTTCCAGGTAAATATGAGCTAGGGAGACCAGTACTAGAATTACCGTCCTGCATCTTTCTCTGTCAATCTTTGAGGTCACTAATGGTGGACTTGCATGGGGATAAGCTTCTTAAAACTCCCTCCTTTGCTTGTTTCACTACTCTACAATGCCTAAAATTGAGCAGTGTTACGATAGATGAGGAGTTTTGCAAATGGATTTCATGTTCATGTAAATGCATTAAAGAGTTAGAGCTTGAATCCGTTGTTGGGATAGAAAAAATATGCATTGAAAGCTCATCTTTAGAATCATTTCGATTTGTGCCTAGTTACCGTCATGTTTGCCATCTCAATATCTCTGGGGAAAAACTTGAAAATATACAAATGTACTGGATTTATCAATTAAGCAAGCTAAGTATTTTCGCTCCCAATCTTAAACGTTTGAAATGGAAAGGGAGGGTGGCAAGTCGCCTAAATCTGGAGAAGGTCATGTGTTTGGAAAAAGCTGAGATTTTTCTCCAGCCTAGGATAAAGGCTGATTTTGGCAATTTATTTGAGGCGTTTTGCAGTATTCAGAGAGTTGAAGTTCTTATGCTAAATGTAGCGATCATGAAGGTACGGAACACTTCCTAACCCTAGCTATACCCTTTTCAAACCTGCTTATTTTTATCTTAATTCAGTATCTAAACTACAATTAGGCAATGTACTAAAAATCAATTCAGAATCAAACGTTTGGAAGGTTTGGAATCCTGAACCTAGCCTGCTCGTTTCTATATAAAATAATGTGGCCTTTATAACATTGCAGGCTCTCGTTCTTTCTAGATATAAAATGTTGTCTTTATAACATTGCAGGCTCTATTTTGGAAAGGTTCCATGCCGGGATTATTAGCTCATGTTGGTCACTTTTGTGTGCGTGACATGAGCTTGACGGATCACCTAGTCAAAGTAATGACCTCTCTGCTTAAACGAATGCCTAACTTGCATACTTTGCACATTGTAACCTCAAAATCTGTTTGCTGTGTAAGTAAAACTGGTGTTTGCTCTCTCTCTCTCTCTCTCTCTCTCTCTCTCTCTCCCCAACAGAGATTATCTGATGTCTTAGATGATTCCTGTAGTAGTTCGATTGTTCTAAATATATATTTGGAAAACTATTGCGTGGTGTTTTTTTTTTTTTTTTCTTTTTACGAACTTCAATATATTTGTCTGTTATATCTTTTGCAGGCATCTGGAAAGTTTAGTAACAAATATTGGAAGCTCAAAAACCTAGCTTGTATTAATCAGCTTAAAGAAGTAACATTTGAGATTTCCAATAATGGGACGAATGAATGGGAGTTAGCAAGGTATATCATCGAGAATGCTAAGAATTTGAAGAAACTGTTCATATATTATGTGCCCAATCAGTTTACTCTCTTTAGGGAGATAACTGAAAGCGCGACGAACTCCCCCGCCACAGTTGAGTTTAAGGTATATGATAAATCCAGAAGAGTTTACAATGATGATCTTATTAGTCCTGATGTACAACAGAAGACTAATTGAATCGTCTTCCCGAATAAAAAGCAAAGGTTTCTCTCCTTATTTGCCAATTCCAGCTACTTCTTTCTCATCTCCTTTGCCTCTTTGCATTTCTATTTCATTTTGGCCCTTAATTTCTTGTGTTGTTTGAGCTTTTGTCTCAACTTTCCTAAGCTTGTCTCAATTTTAGGCTTTTATGGACCCTTTTCCTCATATGTAACTTCCCATTGTCAGTCTTCCACCTCCAATCTCTGCTACTCGGCTCATCAAGTGTCTCTCCTCGGCTGTGTACTTTAGTATTGGATGGTTGTTAGAGTGGTATTAGCACTCTTTGGTAGGATTTTGGGAGCGCTTTTTACGCGAGTGGCTCACTTAGCCCCATTTTATGTTCATCCAGTTTGTTCGTAGGTTCTCCTTCTTGGTGGTGGCGGTGGATTTGCGATAGCGTCACAGTTGGTGTGATGGAGACAACAATCTTCCAGATCTAAGGTTTTTTGGCTGTTGTGGGTTTGCACTTTTTAGACCTATCCATTGTATTTCCTCTTGAGCTATGCTTGTATTAGAATTGCCTTTTGAGCTTTTTATAGCTTTCTTAATTAATGAAAGTTATCATTTTCTGAAAAAAAAAAAAAAAGGTCCTGATGTACATGCAATGTGAAATTTCAATGGATAGTGAGATTTTACTTGATATCAACATTTTTACTACTGATGGAATTATGCTCACTAATACCTAAAGCACAATGCTTTTCGAGAGGTCCTCTAACCCTATGTCATGCATCTTTCTTAATTTAGTTTGGGGTCTTAATATGCTAGTATTAATTTAAATTAAACATAACGAGATTTTGCTGATTTTGAAGTTTTGAACTTTAACTCTGAACATTACTATAAACAACGTGAGCATACATGTGAAACTGGTCTATAGCCCCCGGACATTACTATAAACATTGTGCGAACATATACATGATGAGCATATAAATGGTATAAAAGATCATGCCATAGTTGGATTCACAATACTCATAAACTACAATATCAAATTTCTAAGTAAAAGTCATGACATGATATATGCGTATTCAAAAAATAGTTATGGAAACTATATATAATAAATATAGGGAATTGTTATTGACACTCTAAATTTCTCATTCTACACTCCAAACTTTATATATTTAGAAAGAAAAATACACTTGTGAGGAGTGTAGAATGAGATTTTTAGAGTGCCAATAACACTTCCCTAAATATAATTTGAAAACTAAAGCCCACTCACTGATTCATCATAGGGTCGTAGCTATCTTGCCCTGTCTGCCCTTTGAAATCCTTGAGATAAGTCTCTTCTACATGCAATTCAAACAACTAAGGAAAACACTCGAAAGTTCCTTTTTGTTAACTTATTTTGGGAGTTAGATGTGTTTGAAAAAGGACTCACGCGCTGTCGCTTGCCGTACCTGAGATTTTTCAGAAGCATGAGGTAAATAACAATGTACTTGAGGTTTTTGTAGTATCTATAAGGTTAAAGTTCTTATTCTAAGTAGAGAGACAACCAAGATCAAATAGTTGAAATAAGGATTCTACGAATTTCTATTGCTAAAATTATCAAAATCAAATAACGACAACATCAAACAATACACAATCTATCTCTTCACGAATATTCACAAAATCTCGAAAAATAATCATTTCACCAATCTATTAGTGTTATCATAATTTTTCCAATAGTCCCCAAAAATATAACCTTACAACATCTCCAAAGGAAATGTCAAAAGTTCCTCATAGGCATATAACAGTAAAAAAAAAACTCTCTCCAACCGATTCTTCAATTTCTTACGTGGCACTGAGTCAATTGAAAGCAAAGCCTTTTGCTGTCAAATTCATTTAATAATTATTTTAATAGATTTAATGCAATATATAATAAATATTGTTGTCTATTCTAAGAATTTGATTGGTTACCTTCACAAATGGTCCCCACAAAGTGATAAAAAAATATTTAGAATGACATTATTATTTAACACATTGGGTAGAACAAAAAAATATACAAAATATCAAATTACCACATAAACCATCAAATCTTAATTTAATATTTTAAGGGAATTATTATTGACATTCCAAAATATACTTGTGATAAGTGTAGAATGAAATTTTTGGAATGTCAATAATATTTCTCAATTTTAAATTTTACATCTCTTTTGAAAATGTTTTTACAAAGCAGAGAGCCCAAACCCAACCCAAACACATAACAGTAGGCCCACCCAAGCAGGAAAAAAGTCTCTCATGTCAACTAGGCGGTAGCCAAATGAAGAAACGCGCACATTTCTTTTCAATTTCCCTCTCCTAATAAATAGCTTTTTCTGATCGCGGCTTTTTCCAGAAATTTCGACTTAAATAGCTTTTCTGACAGCGGCTTTTCCAGAAAATTTTGATGGGGTTGTTTCTTGTTTGCATGCGATTGCTAAGTGCTTACCGCGATTTCGAACAGAGGCTTTTGCGGTGATTGAATTCTAGGTAAGCCCAGCTTCTACTTGTTTTCTGCTTCTGCTTTTCTTTTTGGTAATCAATAGGAAGATTTGGGATGCCATTGATGGACAAAGCTTCAAACTTTATTTCATTTTATTTATATTTGTGATACGAGTGATATTGACGACGTCGGGCAAATGGGTAGACGCTTTTATGGTGTTTTCTGATTCTCAAAATTTTGAATTTAATTTACAGATGGTATGTGAGGCTTTTTTTATGATTTGTTGCAAGTGTTTGTCTCCTAAATTCATTCAAAGAAACCCAGAATCCCCTGAAAAATTGACACAATTGTGTTCAGATTATATCTAGATTAGAGGGGAAATACTCAATATTTGCATTAATTTTGTTCTCCTGTCCTTAATCTTTGTAGGTGTAGCTACTAGGTAGGTGCTCTTACCAAAACAAAAAGAAATCTTAGTGTGTCATGGAACACAAGGATAAGTTATTGGCTATTGCGAATTCTCAAGCTCAAGGACTCTGTCCCGAGAGTGTAGTGGACAGGTTTAGTAATCTTCCAGATGAAGTCGCTCATCAGATTCTTTCACTTGTCTCTTTAAAAGAACTCATTCGAGTAGGCAGCCTTTCTAAAAGATGCAGAGGGCTTTATCTCTCAACCCCATCATTGAAATTTTGGTCATCGTACTATGGAGATAAGCAGGGCCAATTAAACTTGCTGAATTCTTTCGATAGGTTTTTGATTCTTCGCGGAGGTAATACGGTACAGAAGTTTCAAGTACATTTGGATCTCTGTTCAAGCTTACCTGATGAGATTTTCCGAGTGATCACGTGGATCCACATTGCAGCAAGGTGTAATGTTGAAGTGCTTGATCTTCAGTTGAGGGTATACAAAAATGATATGGCTTCGTTTGAATTACCATCTTGCATCTTTCTTTGTGGATCTTTGAGATCTCTGATTGTGACTCTGTATACAGTTCTTAAAGTTCCCTCCTTTGCCGGTTCCACTAATCTCCGACACTTAAACTTGAGTTATGTTCAAATAGATGATGGCTTTTCCAAATGGATCTCAAATTCCTGCAAATGTATGAAGGAGTTGCAGCTTTATCATGTTGGAGCAGTAAATATCACCATTGAAAGCTCATCTTTGGAATCATTTAGGTTTGTTTCGGTTCAGAATGACACCTGCCATCTTAACATCACAGGTGAGAAACTTGAAGATATACATGTTAATTGGGAATATTATCAACGTGGCAGCAGATCATTAACTATTTCTGCTCCAAATCTCAAATATTTCAAATGGATTGGGAGTTTATTGAACCGCCAGAATCTCAGGGAATCAATGTGTTTAGAAAAGGCAGAGATTTTTTTGAAGCCTAGGAGAGGTATCTGTGAAAACTTTGACAACGCATCCGAGTTTCTTTGCAGTATATGCAGGGTTAAAGTTCTTCTTCTAAGCCACGAGACCATTAAGGTAAAGATGCACTACCCTGCAGACTAATATTCTCTTTTGGCCATATTTCATGGAACATATCTTGGCTATGGGGTTATGACATGCCAATAATAGATAGCTAATTCGTGTTTCTTAAACTACAAAGTGGTTTAAAATTTGAAGATCTTTGGTTTTATTATAGTAGTGACATCGGATGGAATGAAAATTAAAGGAGTAATGCCTGTGCGCAGGGTTGAAGAGAGGGACGAAGAATAGATTGCGTTGTTATCTATTACTCCGCTTCTCTTCCTCATGTCTCTCATCTCAAAGTATAAATCTTACCAAAAGTGTGAAGCAATTGATTTGACCTATGAATTTGGTAGCATTATATGGGCTTGAATATATGAACAATTTATGATTATTCATGTTTCTTGAAAAATGGTTTTTTAGCTCAACTTTGTAACTTTGCTGCTGTATTATTTTATAGGCTTTAAGGGATACTTTCATCTGTTTAAGAGTCTGGCTTTATAATATTGCAGACTCTGTTCAAGGAAGTTTCCATACCCCCGCCGTTTGATAATATTTCTTACTTGGGTTTGCGCATTACGAGCTTGAGTGATGACCTAGTCCCAGCAATGGTATCTCTTTTGAGAGGAATTTCTAATTTGAATACATTGCAAATAGAATCTGACCTTTCCTTACTCTTCCATAAACCTAAAGTAAGTTAAAAGTCGAAGTTGACTCTCTCTCTCTCTCTCTCTCTCACACACACACACACAAATGTACGCTAGTTCAGGGACTGGCACTTCCTTGTTTCATAGTTTGTATTCATATTGCTACTTTTCGTGTGTTTTGGAATGTTTTTTTTTTTTTTTTTTTTTTTCTTCTATTGATTTGGCTGTTGTGTTTTCAGGCACGCGGATGTAATAGGAAATACTGGAAATCCCAAAACCTGAATTTTACAGATCAGCTTAAGGAGGTAACAATAGAGCTTTCCAACGGGTTCAATGCCATGGAGTTAGCAAGGTATATTCTCGAGCAAGCTCAGCATTTGGAGAAAATGTTCATATTCTATTTACCCCACCAGTCATATGTCATAAAAAGAGTAAATCAAAGCAAGAAAGTCTCCGCTGCCAAAATTGTCTTTCGGAAGAAACAGCAGAGATGATGTGCAAAGGTGGTTCTGTATTTTTCAAAAGATTTTGTGAACAGAAGCTTAAACCTTGTAAACTTTGCTTTTAAGGTTTTGAACAAACTTGGAGCTGTATCGTTGTGTTTGGTACACTTGCAAATTCGGTATCAGGTTGAAATTGATAGATCAAATTGTGCAAATAGTGTTAGTGTTTTGGATAGTTTTAGGCTTAATTGTATTTGTAATCAATTCAACAAGTAAATGAAATGAGATTGGAGAAGATATATGGAAGATGAAATTCAGAGAAGAAAGGAGTGCATAGCTCCGTGAATCTACGTTGGATTCGATACACCAAAGTCGGCTTACATGGTGGGATTTATAGCCGTTGCATACCCACACACACATTTGCAGCATGACTATGATCATGTGCACAACACATGTTTTCATTTAACTTCTAATGAACTAGACACGTGGCCAAGTATACATCATAGAGATGATATAATCCTGTTCGTTCATTACATTATTTGAATAGTCAGCTGCTCTAGCACTTAGAACCATTCGAACTCCATTTCCTTCTTCCATTCTTTAGCTGCTATGCATCTGTGATCCAGCTACCATGCTTATCCACCAACACTCCCATTCTAAGCTAGTAGCTGGTTTAACTCCAAGCTTCTCTTTAAGTGTGTAGAATCGATCTTTGGGAAGTGCCTTGGTGAAAATATCAGCAAGCTGATCTTTTGATTTACAATAGATTAGCTTGATGATGTTTGACTGCAATGCTTCTCGAATGTAATGATATCTTCTTCGAATGTGCTTTGTTCTTTGATGGAACACATGATTTCTTGTCAGAGCAATGGCATATGTATTATCGTAGTAGAGATGAGTAGCTTTAGTTTGTTCTTCACCAAAATCTTAAAGTACAAACCTCAACCACACTTGTGTGGTTGCTTTTGTAGCACTCATGTACTCAGTTTCAGCTGTTGAAAATGCAACACTGTGTTGTTTAACTAAGGCCCAAGAGAAAACCCCACTTCCAAATGAGAAAGCATAACCAGATGTGCTTTCCATATTAGTTTCATCTCCACTCCAATCACTGTCACAATAGCCTTTAAGAATTGATTCCTTGCCTTTCTCATACTCAATTCCATAGTCTAGTGTGCCTTGTATACCTGAGAAGTCTATTAGCTGCTCCCAAGTGCTTCTTTGATGGTCCATGCATAAATCTAGCAAGTAATTTAAGTTAAACTCAATTTAGTTTAGGGTCTTAATACGCTAATAATTTAAGTTAAACTTAAGGAGATTTGCTGATTTTGAAGTTTTGAACCTTAAAAGCATGAACAGAGCTAACTTGTGCCCACTCGTCCTCGTGAGGAGGGTTTAGTTCGAGAAAGTCGGAACAAAGAGTCTGGGAGTTTTTGCGTACGTAAACCCTATGGGAGCGACGTCGGCTGTATAGTGGGTTCACGGGATTGTTGGAGAGCTTTGTGAGTGGTAGAAGGTAGTGCAGAGGGCGGGCGAGGATAGGAGGGCTGCTATAGAGGAACTGGATACAGATGGTGTTATGGAAGAATTATGGCAGACCTTGGGAGATAAGTTGTAGCTCACCGATAGAGAGAATGAGGGAATAGTGATCGATAGAAAGGATGTAGATAAGGCTTTGATCGGCTTTCACTATATGTTATTGGCAGAGGTGTTGACAGTGCGAGCGGTGCATGAGGAGGCTTTCATCGATAGATTCACGTCATTGTGGCGTGGGAAGGAAGGTGTCTCGATTAGGGACATTGGTGATTGAAGGTTCCTGATCAGGTTTGTGGCTAGGAGGGATATGCAGCGAGTTCTTGACTCTCAATTCCCTTGGATGTTTCGTGATGACTTTGTGTTGGTGGGGGGGGAAGATTGGCACGGTATTAACGGTGGATAAATCAGCGAGTCGGGAATGTAAGGGAACCATTGATGAGAGGTGTGATGTTACGTTCCCGGAAGAAGGTCGGGTGTGGGTTGAATTTCGATACGAAGGATTAGCCCAATTATCGCTTTTATGGTCAAAGATCAACACATCAAGATTCTACCAAAAAACCCCAAATCTTCACTTCAATCAAACCACGAAATTAAGGAAAAGCAAACACCACAGCTTCAAAGAATAGGCATCATACAAAATCAGTAAACAATATTACCTGATTCACGAAACTCACACCACCAGATCTCCGAATAACATCATTTCAGATCACCAAAAACCCAATCTTCGAGCAACACCCAAACCAGCGGAAGGCCTTCCCAGAATCGAGAATGGCAACGAGCCAATTCCAACGATGATACCATATTAACACACATAAGAACTAGGAAGAACAATGGATGACAGAGTCGAAGAAGAAGAGAAAGAGAGAGTGAGAGAAAGAGAGAGATTGTAGTAATGCTTCAGAAAATATTACAATGTATTCCTTACACAAATGAAAGCCCTATTACCTCTTATATAACGACAAGTGCTAATTACAACAGTACCCTTATACCTATATTAACTAACTCATCTTCTAAATAATGCCATGTGGCATTTCTGATATATCGGTTATTAACCAGCCGATACAGACCACCATCCAAAAGCAACAATCAACAAAACGATGATGGAAAACCTATATGAACAACTGGAATTGTTAGTACAGCTGCATTGGGGTCCCAACACTTCCACATTTTGGACATGACTGAAGGTCTCGTGCACATTCCAAACATGTCTGCACCAAGAAGATAAAATGAATAAGCATTAACAGTAATAAGGTTTTTATTTTAATCCAAAATGGACTCTAAGATTGACATAACTTCTCACTTTGGTTTCTGCGATTTAAAATAGATAAAAGTGGTTTATGAGATTGTCCAATTATTTTGTCATTATGTGATAAATTTCCGTTAAATTGAAGGTTTTTTTTTTGTCAAATTTGCCCCTCTCCTTAAATTGGTGGCTTCTTCAATTTAACGGAGATTTTTCACAAAAGAATCAAAATGATTGAAGATGGACTTTCTCAAGGACCACTTATACTGATTTAAATATCGAGAACCAAAGTGAGGAGTTATAATAATCTCAAGAACCGTTTTTTGGCAAAAAAATCTAAAAATCTAATAATAATAATAATAGTAAATAGTATTCTCCTCTAAATCCACCTGAAAAATTATTTGTATTTGAGATAATATTAATTCAAATGAAATTAACTACCTGATGCCCACAACCAAAGACCATGCCTTTTGGATTAGCAAGGCAGATGGGGCACCAAAACTGTTCAACAGCATAAAAAATGTTAGCCCCAGCGATGAACAGTCTGAAAACGCAACGAATAAAAGTAGGAAGCATACAACTGCATATGCAAACAAGAGAGTGTAATTGGCCTATTAATTAACAAAAATCTTCAAGGATACCATATGCAATGTATGGTAGAAGATCATACCTTTTCATCCCCACAAATCAATTTTAGTTTGGTAAGTATTGGGGTTTGACAATGTGGGCAATGATAAACCTTCTGTTCGCATGTGCTACATATCTGCACCAAAAGATGAATTACTACACAAAATCTAACCCTTCAACTTTCCATCGAAACCGAGGCTTTTTTCAGTCTCAGTTGGGCAAAAATGAAGTGGGAGAAATAAAACTCAAATGAAAATACCCGATGCTTGCAACCCAAGGCAATGTCCATTGGATTATCGTAGCAGATGGTGCAAACCTGTTTAAGACCATATAAAAATTGTAGTCATGAACACCCATAACACGATAAATTGTACCACCAAACATACGCATCAACGTAGCAGAGACTCATAGTAACCACATTTAAGTTTAGGTTATTACTTTCTTGCTTGAAAGTACCATTTTCATAAACAAATCAAAATATTTTAGCTCCCTGAATCGCCTATAGTAAGGAGCTATGAGGCCCTTCCGTTCTCCTAACTCTCTCCATTCCCGGTGGAGAATCCCCATGTTGAAAATAACCCTGTTGCAATTATAACCAGCATGGCCAAGAATGGATAGTCTCGTATTAGAACTTCGAATATGCTGTATGGCATTTTTCACCTCCAAATCATAAATTCTCTTGATAATACAAGTACCAGCTGTTTGTGAAAAAAAAAAAAAACCGTGTGAACAAAATCCGGTTGTGCCAGCTTAGAAGTCTGTATACCTCATTCTCATTGGTCGAACTGGCAGCAGGTGGAGCTGTGGTACCAGAACTGGTTTCTCTATAATGAAAAGGACAAAGAGGAACCCTCTGGGAAAAATTGCCAGCCTGACCGCTGTCCATTTAAAAGAAGGAAATATGTATGCAAATGATGTCAACATGTAATCAACAGGTATTCACGAATGAGAAATATAGAGAACATTGCGAAGGGGACCCTTTTACAGAATATTTTCTTTCCAACCTCTTTTTATCATCAGTGACCAGAACACCAGCATCATATGGTGATGGAGGATAGGAATAAACTAACGATGGATATTCATACCTCTGAATTTTTACAGGATCTGGAAATTGGACTTGAGGAAGTCTCAATCGAGAAGACCACAGCCTCCTCGGCATTGCTGAAATGCATCCACCCATTAACTCAACTCTCCTAGGGAAATTCCCTAATTCTAGACAAAATCCTCTTCTGGTATTCACTATGCAGAACCTACGACAAAACCCAGAAAAAGAAAACTTTGAATCCAAAACTGCAATACATGCGAATGCACAGACCCACAAATACAAACACTTACACAAACCCACAAATATAAAGACAAACACACAAACGCATATGCCTACTCAGTTAAGCATCTCCAATTAGCAACTTAGCAAATGATTAAGCACCAAGAGGTGAAGGTCCGCATTTCAACGAAATCCCATCTACATTTTGATATTTCCAATCTTTATTACTGATAGTTTTATATGCAAACAGAAAGACAACCAGATAACCGTAGGCTTGTAGCTGCCAGAAAGGAAGTAACTGCGCAGCAAACTTTATTCGATTCGAGGGCTTCTTTTTTTCTTGTTAATGGAAAAAGATCGATTGTATTCAATCACATGTAATCAAAATATAAATTCTCTCATAAATATTCATAATTTCAAAAAAAAAAAAAAAAAAAAAAACACCCGAAAGTTGAAAAGCCTTGAAGTTAGAACTACCTTCTTGCTCGTTAGGAGGAAATAACCAAAACCCTTGTCCTCTCTTGCTCTAAAACGCCGTTCGCGTTAGGCTGTGACCACCGGGTGTATAAACGGCCAAAACCCTTCTCTTCTATTGCTTCTTCTGTTGGATAAAATACAAATATACATATTCAATCTGCAAATTTGTTCAAACAGCAGAAGAACAAATCAAGAAAACTTGAATTATGAAATTGCTAAAATTCTTCAAGTGAGAAATACCTGTTAGGTTTAGGTTGGAACTTGGAACTGCCACCGCCGAAGCCCTTTACCTCTCTGCCCTTTTGCTTTTGGTGAATTCAATACAAACACATTTAGACTCGTTGGATCTACTGGTCAATGAGCAACTTTTAATTTTTACTTTTAATTTATTTATTATTATTATTTTGGAGATATGAAAAAAGTACATAGCGAAATGAGGGTTGAAGAAAAGTGATAGGGGAGAGGAAGAAATAATTAAGAAAGGAATGAAAATAAAATCTTGAGAGTAAAGACAACTTTAAATGTTTTGAATTTTTTTCTAGTTGTAAAGTAAAATCTAAAAGCGAGCGATGACAATGAAACCATAAAACAACAATTACAAAATTTTCCCACTAAAGATGGAAGCTTCAAGCTTGGTTCTCTCGTGTTTTCCTTATTTGAAATTAAGTCAATATGTAAGATCGTTATGATGGCAATGGCAATGGTATGTCTAGCGTATTGTGGTCTAGTGAATTTATAGAACTACATGATTTCTTGCATAATTAATTATACTAATCCAGCAGGCAAGTCTGCTACCAAAACAGGGATAAAAACCAAGAGTCTAGCAAAGAAAACCAACATGTCAAAACAATGCACCAAGAAGAAGCAAAATGGGTGACGATCGACTACCACACACCAGCAGATTCTTAACAAACATGGAATGACTAAACCAAATGACGAAAAACAAGAAGTAAACCAGTAGCAAATTGATTTTCGGTATGCTATAATTATATGTCGTTACTTACTTCATCCTGTAAATTCCCAAAGTTCATCTTTTGATTGTAATCTCCTTCTTCTGGCCAGTGGACATGACCTCAGCAGAAGCATTCAGGATACCATTTGCATCAATTGAAAAACAAACATCTACTTTAGCAACACCCTTAGGAGCTGGAGGAATGTCATCGATGTCAAAGCCACCCAAATAATTATTATCTTTGGTTAGCTCATTCTCACCGTCGTAAACTCCACGGGGGACAGAACTTTGGTTGTCGTGACAAGTTACAAAAGTATGGTTCTTCTTGGTGGGAATTTTGCTGTTTCTTGGAATCATAACACGCATGAGCTGTTCTTCTTCACCATATTCTGTCCCAAGTGACATAGGAATGACATCGCAGAGAGTGAAGTCTTGAAGCTTCAAACTTTGATTACCATTCAAGACAGCAGCTTGAACAGCAGCACCATATGCCACAGCCTCATCCGGATTAATGCCGTTGGACAGCTCGTTGCCGATGAACACGTTGTGTAATAGCTCCTGCACCTTGGGAATTCTAGAGGAGCCACCAACAAGAACAACATCATCGACATTCCTTGTGTCTATTTTGGCATCCTTCAAACATTTATCCACAGGCTTCATGCACTTGTTGAAGAAATCCATGTTTAGTTGTTAAAGTTTTGCACGGGTAAAAGTTGTATAAAAATCACACCATGATACAAACAGTCAATTTCAATATCTGTCACAGACGTAAACGAAAGTCTCCTCTTCGCCTTCTCACATTCATTTTTTAACCTCCTAAGAGCTCTAGGGTTTCCACCGACGTCCAAACTATGCATCTTCTTAAACTTCTCAACCAAGTAATTCACCATATTGTTATCAAAGTCTTCACCACCAAGGTGAGTATTTCCAGCCGTCACCTTTACTTCAAAGTCACCAGAACTTATGGTAAGTAGTGACACATCTAAAGTACCTCCACCCAAGTCAAATATCGTAACATTTCTCTTGCTATACCAACCAGCCTTATTGTCAATTCCATAAGCAATGGCGGCCGCAGTTGGTTCATTGATGATTCGCATCACCTCTAAGCCAGCAGTGACACCAGCACATTTTGTAGCCTGACGTTGGGAGTCAGTAAAGTAAGCAGGGACAGTAATAACTGCTTTCTTCACACTTGAGCCGAGGTAGACCTCAGCAATCTCCCGCAGCAAACTGTTTCTCTTGACCCTCATGGGTAACCACAATCATGGGCTTGTGATCAGGACCTTCAGTGACCTTCAATGGCCGGAGCTTCAAATCATTTTGAATAGAAGCGTCAGTAAATCTCCTTCCAATTAATTGCTTTGCATCTGTAAAATGAATGCCAAACTTAGAAACTCAATCAAATAAATTGGAAGGATTGCAAACAATGGTGTAACATAAACCAAAAATTTCAGTTAGCTATATCTCTATTTATTTGGAAATGTCAAGTACTAAAATGAAAAATGTTTCACTTTTTCCAAGTTTCTCATTCAGTCTGATAGATCTAAAAAGATGCTGTTATCAAAGTTATATAATGTCAGTCAGTACGTAAATCATTTAATTATGTCTTTTACATAACCAACCTCATTAAAATGCAAAAACTAGTTAATTTGGGTACTGTAAGTCTGTAACTACCCAAGAAATACCCATAGGATATATTGGGGTGAGGGACTTCCAAATCCCACAATATTGATGTCAAATTAGTAACGGATCGATCACGAAACATTAGGAAGGATTAGAAATGTGTCATGTGAGCATTACAAAGGTTTGTAAGAGGGATTTATAAACACCTTGCAAGCAAGGATTGACAAATCTCTCTCACATTGCCTTCTAATGCCCATATGGTGCTTTTTTAATCCCTCGTCTATCGGTTTAAGATCCATTCCTTGCTAACTTATCCTCACACCCTCGAGACTTGAAAATTCCCTCACCCAACCATAGCATTAAGCACCCATTAGGAGGATCACAAAGCTCAGGTTAAGAAAAGTCAATATTTAGCTAATGAAAAAAATGATGATAAAAAAACAAAACAAAAACACAAAAACAAAATAGTTTATAAGAATGCAAACACTTGTAGCCTCGAATGGTATAGATGTGAGAAGATTAGCCTTACCAAAGATTGAGTTTGAGGGGTTTCTAATTTGTGAAAGCAACATAAGACGGAGTTGTTCTGTTCCCCTGACCATTCACTATGATTTCAATGTGATCATATTGTTGGAAGCTAAACAGTTTCTGAAGTCGAGGGATCAAAGGTAGCAAGGAGCTCCTGAGCATGGTTGTTGTCTGCATTGAAGAAGAAAGAAGAAATGAAGGGCTTTAGTCCCAACGGCTAGTTTTTCAGTTTAAATGTATGTAGTGAGCGTGTGAGTGACAAGTGTACACTCCAGATTAGATCACTTAAAACCCCAAATGAAGGGCTAGGATGGAATTTGGAGTAGTATGACTGAAATGGTTGTTAAGCATCTTGTCAATCACTCCCTTAAACAAGTATGGGTCATGACAATGCACCATACCCTACAAACATTCACCTACTTAATGAAGTAATGGCTAATGCATTGAACACAAAACCTTGAAAACCGTCAAAAACATCTCCAAAATTCTCTCCATTCTAACCCAAGAAAACCACCAAACCAAACAAACTTTAGCATGGCCTCAAAGCTTAGTTTATGATCTTACAACATTCTGGGAGTAATCTGTGCAAGTTGAGATCTTTGGAAACACCTACGTAGTGTCCTCAACAACAAAAATCAACAAAACAACCCTGAAATGAAGGGATCTAGCAGTAGTAGTGAGCTAAAAGCTCCAGTCTTTGATGGGGAGAACTATGATTTTTGGAGAATAAGAATGACAACCATTTTCAAGTCCTATGATATATATGGGATATGGTTCAAAATGGTTATGAACTACCTAAGATAGAGGTCGATGCTCTAGAGTAGGACCTCACAGAAACACAACTCAAAACACTGAAGCAGAACCGGATGGAGGATGCTAGAACACTTGGAATGATCCAAGGTGCTGTCTCAGACACCATTTTCCCGAGGATAGCAAATGAAGAGACTGCAAAGGGAGCTTGTGAAGTTTTACGGCAAGAGTACAGAGGAGACACCAAAGTTAGAAATGTAAAACTTCAATCGCTTAGAAAAGATTTCGAGTATACAGGAATGAGGGAAAATAAGCTGTTGAAAGATTACTTTACTAGGCTATTTGATGTTGTAAATAAGATAAGAACATAAGGTGAAGAACTGCCAAATGAAAGAATTGTCCAAAAACTGTTGATTAGTTTGACTAAACCCTATAATTTAATAGTGAGTGTCATTGAAGAAACCAAAGACACTAAAACCCTTAGTGTGTAAGATGTGACAGCATCCTTAAGAGCTTTTGACCAAAGACTTGAGAGGCATGCTGATTTTGCCACTGAGAAAACATTTTAATCATTCTCTGTTGGATCTAGTAGTCAAGCTAGTGGCAAGCAAATAAAAACCACAGTGGAAGGGCAAGAACAAGAAATGAGAAGGAAAGGGGTATCAAAACCCTAGACCTAACCAAGGCAGTAACTCAAATGAAGGTCCAAGAACCAAGCAACACTGCAAGCACTGTGACAAATTTCATCTTGGGGAGTATTGGTTCAAGGACAAGCTTAGATGTCACAAATGTAACAAGTTCGGGACATTATGAAGGATTGCAGATCAAAGAATGTGCAGCAAGTGAACTGCGCAAATCAAGTGCAAGGAAAAAAAAATGTATTCTGTGCTTTCAGTGCAAAAATGGAGAAAAACAATGAAGTGTGGTACATTGACAATGGCTGCAACAATCACATGACTGCACATAAGTCATTACTCATTGATATTGACACAAACTTCACTAGAAAAGTGAAAATGGGAGATGGAAACATTGTCAAAGCCACTGGAAGAGGAACTCTGGTCATTAACACCAAGAAAGGAAGAAGATGCATAAGGATGTGATGCTAGTGCCTGGATTGGATGAGAATCTACTTAGTGTGGGTCAAATGATGGAGCATGGCTATTTCCTACTATTTGGGGGAACTGTGGTTGAGATCTATGATGACAGGTGCCTATCAAATCTAGTGACTAGAGTGGAAGTGAAAAACATAAGCTTTCTACTTATGCTGAAGTACTTAGAGGAAGTGGCAAGGAAAGCAAGTGTGACAGGTTCTATGAAGCTATGGCACAAAAGGCTTGGTCATTTAAACATGACAAGCTTACAAAATATGCAAAAGCATGAAATGGTGCAAGGTATACCAAAGATGGATTAATGCAATGAAACCTGTGGAGGGTGTGTGTTTGGTAAGCATCACAGAGATCCATTTGAAGTTGGAAAGACTTGGAGGGCAACAAAGCCACTTGAATTGATTCACACAGATGTGTGTGGACCAATGCAAACAACAACAATCAATGGAAACAGGTATTTCCTAACCTTTATTCATGACTACTCACGGATGTGTTGGGTGTATTTCATGAGGTTCAAGTTTGAGGT